CGGAGGGGAGCCCAGCCGAGCCCAAGGAAGGGAGGTGGCCCGGGCCGTCGGGCCCACGGTGGGGCGAGAGGAGGCGCGGGGCCGGCCCGCCGCTTTCCCGCCTCGTTCTCTCAGAACTATACTTCCAGTAATACTTTCAGCTTACAGTTTTGGGCGAGAGTCTCAAACACAGCGGTGTGTGGGGAGCGGGCAGGCAGCCTAACGGGGCCGAGAGGCTGCGCCCCGGGACGTCTCCAACGTGCGGCCTCGGAAGCGAAAATACACGTAGTTATTTATAAATCACTAAAATAGTGCTTGTCTAAGGGTCACAGGTCTGGAAGAGGCCAGGAGGTGGTTTTGTAAAGCAAAAGCAGTTAAAATTTCATACGTGTGCATATCCGTGTAAGCAGGCAAAGTGACAGAAAGTCTAGGAAACAAAGGCGAATTCAGATTTGATCCTATTTTTCATGTGCTCCTAGACAAATACTGTGCTGAGGACATCAGGGGTGGGTGGCCCTTTGATTTTAGAACATCGGGAAACAGAGGAATATAACGATGAGAACTATCATTAATGAAGTAATATTCATCAGACTTGTATTTATTTCATTTTTACTCCTGTGGTTTTGCGTGGGGTTTTTTTCCTTAGATCAAAGAAGAAAGAATAGTTGTCCTGGAAACTGAAAACGCCGCTCTGCATCTAAAACTCGCAGAGGTAACTTGTTTATTACCAGAGGGGGAAAAAAAAAACCAAAAAGGACAGTGAAATCTGCCTGTCCATTTTCTGGCTTTGTTCTCTTCAGCTGCTGGGGAAATCTACAAAGGGATTAAGACTCAATGGTTTGTGTTTTTTTTTTAAATCATAAATGATAGCAGTAACAATATGCTGGTTAAGTAATTGTAAGTTGGCACACAAATAATTGCTATTGTTTGAAATCTATATAAAAGTGGGCTCTGCAAGCATTAAATATGGAATATTGCTTTCTGCTTGCAGGCAAAACGTTTGTCTAAAAGACAAGAGTAGGTTTTTGAAGGGATACTTTTTAGACATAATTAGGATGACGCTTTAAAAGGAACTGTTCATGGAGTGCAGGAAAGACATTTCATTATGAGTAGACTCACCAGAGAGGCACTATTGCATGTCTTCCAGCATTAGTGTTGCAGTTGTCTAGAAAAGGCAAGGAACTGTTGCAAAAGTCAGTCACAGAGCACACAGCAACAACTGGATGCACCCATTTCCTTATATTCTTCTGCAGAAGCTGTTTTTCCTAGACCATTATTGAAACAAGGAGCAGCCTGTGATGTTTGGGGTTTTCAGCAGTAGAATTTCAGGGATTTAGAGAATTTTGAAAATTGATCTACACTGCTAGAGCAGAGCCAGCTGTGAGTATTAGTTGTGATACAGACTATTGGTCAAGAGTTTCTAATCTGTGCTGAAACATTCAATGGTTGGGTAACCTCAGGAAAGGTGTTTGCCCTCCCTGTTTATTAGTTAACACCTGTGGATAAAAGTGGGTTTAACATTTTTCAAAGCCCACTTAGAAGCAGATGGTATATGTGAGATGAGTTTTGCTAGGTATAGAGAAGAATATTGTATTTTATTTTGAGAAAATGTTTCTATTGTTTGTGTTCTGCTTTATAGTATTTACCAAACCACTTAAGTATTTCAGCTGGGATTTTTTTTTCCTCCAGTTAGTAAATGCAACAGATGTAGGAAGAAATTATCTGAGTATTAGATAGTGAATCCTTGTTTTCCAGATACAGCACTGTTTGAGTTTATTGCAAAATACACTGGTAGATATGAGCACCTACAGACACGAGGACTGTGGCAGTGGTACCACCATCAGTCACAAATGATGTCAAATGGTTCTTAGAAATATTTTGCAATTAACCTTGCTCCAGTGTTTCTATTCACATGGTTATTTAAACACACCTGAAAGACTTCTGCTTCTCCTCTTTGGTTAATTTGCTCCAGCAATCTGAAAACACAAACTAAACTGATGTCTATGAAATAGTTTTCACTCTTACTATTGAAAAGCCTCTGTTAAAAAAGGATATTAATTTTGCTAAGATGAATTTAAGGTTGTGCTTTGTTGCACCGTATCCCACAGCCCTTCAGCTATGCTGGTGAAAAAAGGTAGTGCCCTCAGGTATCAGTCACTGGCCCTTCAGCTCTGCCTCAGTGACTGAGCTGTAACAGGTTCAGGCACAGTGACCAGGGTTAACAGAGGTCTCATTCTGAACTTGTAAAAGCTAATTGGATTGGCTTTGGCTGAAGCCAGCCAGGGAGCTTTGGAGGCAAGCTTATGAGGACAGCCATAAATTAGGATTTGCAGTCCAAATGTTTGTCTGTAGGTTGCATCAGCTTAACAAAACCATTATCTCTTGCTATAGATCCTCCCTGGTGTATATTAAGACAGCCATGAATGTCAGCAGTGCCACTGTTTTCTGTAGCCTGGTATTTTACTCTGCTGGCAGCATATTGTAAGGGATGTTACTGAATGTAAGAAGTCAGATTCTTTCTCTGTAGGCTGCTTTTGCCTGTATGGAAATGTGTTTGTCTGCCTGCATGCCCCTTGCTTTTGTTAGCAGTCCCTGAGGCCCTGATCCTGCAGCCTCCTGTACATAAAGCTAAGGCTGCCAAAATGGATCTGATTGCAGAACTCATCTTTCACTTTGGAGGATGCTGTTAAATAGCTCTGTTTCACTTCCATTTGTAATGAAGCTGACTATAAACAGGTTTATAAAAAGGTTTCTGGTTGTTTTTTTGCTTCTCATGCACAAATTTGCAAGCTCTGGCCTACGAACAACCCTGATGAATGCTGAAACTATTTTAATGGAGAAGACCTCAGAAATGAGGCAGCATTTGCAATAAAGATAACCTTGACAGTGGGAGTGAGGAGAGGTTGACTGCAATGACAGTGGAGTCAAACATTCCTCTTTTATTGTTTGTGTTGGGGAAAAATAGGGGCAGGGGTCAAGGGGAACCTGTGCAGATGGTGGAAAACAGATGTTAAAAAGAGGTTTTAACTAGCTTAAGCTTGTTTAACAATAAGGCTTGAGTCCTGCATTTGCTTATATGCATGCTTTGCTTTTCACACATGATTAGACATACTAATTCTGGTAGGCTACTAGTGTGAGTTTTTGTCAAGCATGTTTGTAATTGTTGCTTCTGAGTAACAGGAGTCTTGGAAATCCTCAGAGTAAAAGAACACACAAACACTGTGCAGAATCAGTCTCAGTTTCTGAGAGCTCAAAGCCCGTAACAAAAAAGGTCATGTGGGAGGTTTTTTTTTTTAAATAATCTCTTCCTGCTATTTCTCTTCCACATAAGAACTTCTAGTATTAGTGCTAAGGTGGTGTGTGTTTCTGCAGAGCCTCTGGCTGCATTTGTAAACAGAAGGTGCACGCTTTGTGGAGAGGAGCTAAACCATGTGAAAAGGTTGGTTTAGATCAGTGAAGCACTTCTCCTGGGAAATACCACCTGTCTTTATTCTAACAGCTCCAGGACATTCTGGTGTTTTTGCAGATGTAATCTGTAGCTAACCTGTAACTAAGTGTTGACTTTAAAATGCAGATTATTTTTAAACATCACGACTTGTCAGTAAATGATGACACTGTGGTTTTTAATATAATATGGGTTTTGTCATATTCACAAGACAAGAATTTCACAAGTACTCTACTGATATTTGTTTTTTTGTGTTCTTGCCTGTAAATAGTTAAAGTTGCACTATTTCTCTTTTCCTCTTCATATTAAAAAAAAAAAAATTGACCATAACAATTGCTTTTGCATAATAGGTAATTTTAGATTATGTGGTGGAGTCAGGAAGCTTGAGCAATGGACACTAACTTAGGGGCTGTGTATTACCAGCTCCTTGGGGGTTTTGGAGTTATGTGGGTCCTCAAGAGTGAGTTTCATGTTCTTCCAGAGAGCTTTCAGCACTAGATGTGGTTCACAGAATCTTAGAAAGTTTGGGGTTGGAAAGGACCTTTAGAGGTTGTCTGCTCCAAGGCCTCTGCAGTCAGCTGGGACATCTTCAACTACATCAGGTTGCTCAGAGCCACATTCAATATGACCTTGAATGTTTCCAGTTGTGGGGCTTTTGCCACCTCTCTGGTCAACCAGTTCCAGTGTTTCACCACTCTCATCGTAAAAAAAAGAAAAAAAAATATTTTTTAGCCTAAAAATTAGGCCAAAAGTTAGCTTATATCTACTCAAGTTACTTGAAGGCACTAAAACCAACTATGTAAGCTGCCCTTTTCCCTAAGTAAAGGCACAGTTTTAACCATTTAGATCCACCTCAAGCATAAGTAGGGGTTTTAGGTACTACAAAAGCATTTTAGTGATCTGATGCTGAGGTTTACCACCCTAAGGAAGTAGAGTATTGTGATGTTAGCTAGTTACCTCAAGGGGATCCCTCATGTGACTCAAAAAAAGGTAAAACCAAAGAAATTGTGTATTTACAGTATCACATACAATCAGATAATTGCATTACAGGGACAAAGGGGACAGAATGCAACAGAAGACGAGCACTTTAAAGTGATTTTTAGGTATGGTGTTGGTTTTTTTTTCTTTTAAACAGTATCAGGGGTTGGCTAGAAGAAGCACTAATGAAGTACTGCAGCTCTACTCTGCTCATGGCCAGCAGCAGAAATTGCAGAGGAGTTCTGTTGTAACCCAGCTGCATGGACAAATAAAGGTAAAGACATTTAGTAATGAAGTAGGCATAATCTATGCCCTGTAACATTTACATGCTTATCAAATATAGTAGAACCCAGAAAATGGTCAGATATGAAACTGATCTATGGCTTTATGGTATGCACAGCAGTGTGTGCAGTAAAGTGTAACAATGTCTGAGCTACCTTGAAATTTCTAGTGGTTTTGCTGTAGTAGGCTGCAAAATTACCTGAGAAGCTGGTAAAAGAGACTGCTCTGGAGCTCCCAGAGCTCATGTATGGGTTGCTGTCAATACCCAAGCTAGATATTTTTGTCATCAAAACCTTGCAGTCCCCGAATTGACTATCATATAGACATCCCCTGAAAAACAATAACTGTGTTATACTTTAAATAGATAGGCAGATCCTTTTTAAAAAACCAAAAAATAAAGCATTGGAAAGCTCCACAGATTTCACAGAGTTCTGCTCTGGCAGACCTCACAAGAGGGAGTAGTTTACTTCGTGCTCACTCAGGTTGTCTTAATTTTGCATTAAAGAGACTGGAACTGCTCTCCCAGTACCAGAATATTTTCCTTTGCTGAAGTATTTAAAGTATTTATTCCTTAAGTTACTCCATAGAATAGTGAGTTTCTTTTAGGGACACTAAAAAACGTCAGTTTTTCTCAGGGCAGCACTGAATGCCTACATAAAATGACTGAAATGTATCTTGGGAAAAAAATAATTATTCTTAACAGGTGGTGTAGCTTAATTATAACACAGTTGGACTAGATGATAATTGTAGGTCCATTCCAACTGAACTGTTCTGTTGTATTCTGATTACAGTGATTTTACTCAGTTTGGTGGTGATGTTTGATATTTTACATTAGCTAGGATGGCAGAACTGCTTGTGATGCAATACCAGTGGGTTTATTGTCAAAGATCAATGAATGTTAGGAGAGAGCAGAGCTCTTCAAATAAAAACCTAGATTAATGCTAATCCTATACCTGTAATCAAACAAACAAACAAAAAAACAACCAACAAAACTTCTTCCCAGTTATGTTTTATGGCTTTTGAAAGTGAGAAATGCAGTGATTTTCTCTGTTAGATTATAGTTTTATCCTTGAAACTAGTTGATTAATGGAAGGTCAGTACCACAGTTGGAAAAATAAAATGTCACAGAATATATGATGCTTTGTACCAGACTGACTAGTGAAGCATCACGTTGCTTCTAGGAGATAAGAGACTATGAAGTTCATCTTATAAATGGCTTTACATTTTCATTTCGAGACTTTGATGCTAGGAAACCTACTCATCCTAAAATCAGATCAGTTTGGTTTTATTTTATTTGAACTCTTAAGTGAATATAAGCTGCTCTTAAAGACATTTAAAGTCTCGTATGTTATGCTGAGTTATATCCATAATTTTTCTGAGCATGTTTATCCAAACATTTTTCTGAGCAGTAAGGTTTTTGATCTGTCAAAATACATCTGTTCTCATAGGAAGGCATAGAACTGGCTTATTTAAGAAATGATTTAGAGTGAAGCTTAACAAATACCTCCTCATCAAAGTGTGGAACACGAATGCAGTACGACCTATATGGATCACAATTTTCCATTGCTAATTCTGGGTATGTCTTAGAAGTGAACAGAACACACACACACACGCCTACACACACTTATTTTTGTTTGAAGAAATAAGACTTTGTTATACCTGGAGCTGTGTTATGGCTGAAGTATGTACCATAAGATGGTAAGGATCCATAAAGTCTTGAAATCTTCAAGAAATGACATTGCTATATATCTTGCAGGTTCCTTATCTAAACATGTTGGAAGATATCTTCCTGAAGACTTCCTTTCACCAAGCAGAGAATTCTTTCTGATTGTGATACCTCACTACAATTGTTTCTGTTGTTGTTATATTGATTCTTCCTTAAGTGCTGTTTTTATTTCTTTATAATGTATTTTTTCTTCTGGTGGAGAAGAGGCTTAAGCAAGACCTGAAGAGCCTCCATTCATTTGCTCTTGAGCTTTTGAAAGACTTTCAGCATCAAAGCAAGACTTACCTTTACCAAATTTTGACAGCAGTCCAGGGGATACAGCTGCAAAATGAAGCAATGCAAAGTAAGGCTCATTGCATTTACATTTCAAACAATGTCATTGTTAAATGTTACCAGCGTTAAAAGGTTGAGTCTGACTTTCCAGAAATGTGTCACTGGAATGGTAACACTTATTTTTTGTTTGACATTGCATCATCAAGGTATTCTACAGTGTTAGGAAGAGTGTAAATAACTCTGCAGAGGTTATGACTGATCATTTGAATTTAACTTTTTTGTTGATAGCAGCTGCTGCTAGACTGCTGCTGAGTTGGCTCAGCTGTAATGTTTTTAATCTGGAGTTCTCAGGCTTATTATCTTGACTATTTTAGCACAGCTGGATGAAGAATGTGTTGCTTTAGCTGAAATTTGTCTGCTTTTGACTGGGCCAGAAAATTGCTGAGGTGATTTCAAAGATTTCTGAAAACACTGCCTGAAATTAGGATGGACTGGATTTTTAATATTTCTACGTATTTACAGGGAAAATTTTACTTCCACATCAAAACCAATCCCACTCTCTAAACTGTAGATACTAACACCCCATGAACTACTGTTTTGGAATTCAGGTCCTTCCTTGTTCATGTGTAGATACAAAGCAGAGCCTACAGTGCACTGGTGCTCTCTGCCCACTGAGGACTGGGAGCACTGGTTCTACACCTGGGTCTCTTGGCATGCATCTCTGCTCCTGTCAACTGCATGATGCAGTGTTCTAGGAAATCACAACCAGGAGGAGCTTCCTTGCCCATAACAAAATAGTGAGTTGGTACATAGCTGGATGACTTATGTTTTTAATTTGGCCGTTTTTCAGTTCTCTGTCAAATGTTTTAGATGGAGATTCTATTGTAAAGGTTAAATAGTACAGTCAGAATTGCCATCCTTAAATTACATATAATCTTTTGTAAACAGAAAGCCAAAAGTAAGTGTTCCAGAGACAATACATGTTATCAATTTATTCCTAAATTAGGGATGGAAAATGAGGGAGAGAATTATAGCAGAAACATTCAAATGGGTTGATTTCAAGGCTGTAGCTGACATGCGACGAACTGTAAAATTTTCATTAATAACTGAGTAGCCCCTTGCTTAGAAATATTTATTTACAGTCTGAAAACCAGGCTATGGCCATCTTTCCCACTGAAATTTAAGTAGTAGTAATTTGGAAGAGAGAGAAGTGCTCATTATTCTTTCATTTCTGCTTGTTGCCCTCGTAAACAAAGCTGCTATCGTCTTAGCAAAACCTCTGGCCATTGGACTGTAAACAGTACGACCGAGGCAGCTGCAGAAATTGAGCAGGTTTTTGGAACTGTTGGAATTTCTGAACATTTAAGATGACTTCTCAGCTGGCTCCATCATGCCAGTGTTACCAGAAAGAGGGAACGTCAGTAGCTGTGCATGCAGAACACGTTTTCAGAGGAGACCCCCGTTCTCACTGCTTGGCAAAGTGGCGAGTCCAAGGGAGCAACATCTGTTCAAGTGAATTTGTGACAGAGGAGTTGCTGCAGGTTGCTGGCATATTTTTTGCCAGCTGCTGCAGCCCAGTGAATTGGATATCCTTTGTGGTTCCACACTTTCTCTCCGGGGTGGAGAAGAGGAAGAATTGGGTCAGGAGCTTATTTCCCACTTTGCCCAAATGCTGGCACCTGTGTGCTGTGCTGCTTTTGGAGAAGCTGTCCTCTGTACTGTGCTGGTGACTTCTGTTGGTGGAAGGTGAACCACCATCATCTTTTACTCGTAACCATATCTGAGCTAGACTGTGGCTGTGCAAGGTTGTGAAAGAACTGAAGGTGTGTACACAAATTTATAAATAAGATCATTATTATGGAGATCATTTCATCCATGGATTCCAACCTCACATTTTGAAAAACAAAAATGTATGATTGTTGTATCATACAAATGTATATATCAGTGATTGTAAGAGTCACTTCTGACAATTTATTGTAACATACTTGCATGTGATTCTCCAAACTAAAACGTGCTAGTGTTACTCCATATACAGGATGAAAGAAAGGGATTTTTCATAATGAAACTTGTAGACTTTGATCCCCCAGCTGTTAACATCATGTTTCCCCTACATGTACTTGTGGAGGCATATTATGAGTTGGAGGTGAATAGAGTGGGTGTTAAAAAATAAGATCTGAGAAATCTCTAGTGTAGACAAAGGTCCTTTGGAGTTAGGTGATTTCTAGTCTTTTACAGGAGAGCATAAATCATATGTGTGTCATGTTGAGATTTTAATCTGTTTCTTTCTTTGTAAGGTAGCACTTAGAGAAGCTGGTGGCCATCCTGCTAACTCAGCTCTCAGACCATGGTTGTGACTGCTTAATACATCTTCAAACTGTTCACTGATTGCTGGGCAGATTAATTTCCCACTGGGGTCCCTAAAACCTTGCTTTTTACAGAAGTTTACAGTCACATTGTGCCCTCTGGGCTGTATGTTTGTTTAGGCCTGCTCAGTGTTAATGTAATTGGGCTGAAATAAAACCATTTGTGTGTTCAGAAGGCTTTTATAATGGCCCACATCACTCTCCTCAGTTTTCTGAAGGAGGCTCCCTGGAGTTGAAAAGATCAATCTTTTTTATGCAGCCCTACCCATGAAGTGAATGCCCCTGTTTTAAAAGAGAACCCTATAGCTGTTGTACAGGATTAGCAGCACTGTAAGTGAGGCTGAGGATAAATGATGGGTTGACTTCTTGTAAAGTTAGCTGGCATGTATCTAATGATCTACAATATGGCACAAGCCTTGCAAGTGACAGCCCTATCCAGAAAAGTTTAGATTTCAGGCTTCACTGACAGGTAACATTACTCAAACTAAACTGATACATTTGAACTGCCTTTAAATATCTTGTATTTTTGATTGGTCTTCAAGATTATGCATGTATACCTGTGGTAATTATCTGTAACTTTGCCTAACCATTTGATAGCAAGAAGGGTGATGGGATTTTTCAGAGGTATGTAGAAAATCAGGAACTAACTGTCCTAATTAAAATGTGGTAAAAGTTAGAAAGGTTTATGCTTGTATTTCATGAGGTGCTACTAGAAAATTCACTTTGTAAAGTCACAGAGTTTAGTTCTTTGAAACAGCTTTCTTCTAGTATTTCAGATAAAAGCTTTTGATCTTGAGCAGTCTCTGGAAGAGGTGACAGAGAGATATGAGAAAGAAAAACAAAAGAGGAGAGCTCTACATAACAGCTTAGTTGTAAGTACCTGGGAGAGTATGGTTTCGTTGGAATTATGCACATCATTTCCTCACCAATAAAACTAATGAGTATACTTTTCATGGATATATGACCTCCTCCATCTATCTATATTGCACATACATGTTATATGTCTATATATAATGCCTATATAGTATTTCTTTGCTGAGGCTTATTGGTGTTACAGTAAACTCCACCCTGTTCTTTTTACACAGGCATCTTCCAAATGCACTTTTGCAATGTGTTGCCCTAAGGAGTATTATCCACTTCTGAATTTTTGAAAACTTGAGTTTCTTCATCCTCTTCTCTCAACTTTCAGCTTCTGAAATTGTTTTAGAATTCTTAAAATTATCAACTTGAAATTGTAAAATGGTAATCTTTTCTTTTTCCAAATACATTTAGCTGTATCCTGCTCAGCCATTAGTGATGGTTCATTTGGGAATTCATTTTTTTTTTTTTTAATTTTTGTATTTTAACTTTATTCTTCATCCCCACTCCTCCAGATTAGTAGTTTTTGGGTTGCCTGATTCAGGACCTGATTCTTAGAAAAAAAGGCTACCTTCAAACAAAATTCTTTTAGGTTTTCCTACCTGGGAAAAATGAAGCTTTTTGTTTAAAAGTACTTGCCTTCCAGACTCTGCCTTGTGTTGCAGTTTACTGCAAGGATATTCCCCAAGGCAGTGGGGAGTTAGTGCCAGTGGTCACTAGTCATCACAGGCAAGCTCTTTTCATTAATAAAAAATGAGAAGAAGAACTGATCACCAACAAAAAAGAAGGAAAAAACAGGTTAGATAACCTGCAGTCTGAAACAGCCTGCAGAGGAAAATCAGTTACTGGCTTTTTAGTCATGTGTGAACACACAACAGAGAGGAAAATGTACAAAATGTTTTATAGTTGACATCTTCCTCAGGGCTGGTGGAGGAGAAATGGAGTGTGTAGTCTTGTCTGTTGAGTTAATATAGGTGGTGGAAGAAGCTCAGGTGAACAGGAAAGGTACTTGAAGAGGAGAAAATGGCTGAGATTGAAAGCCTTTTTAATTTTTTTTCCGTGTAGACTGGAGGGGGCTACACCATTCCAGAGCTCTAAAGAGCTTGCATTTCCTCAAGTACTTTCTCCTAACTTCTCAAGGCAAATGATACTGATATTATTTTTCTCTCCACAGAGTCTAAGCCTGTGAAGTTGTCAACACCTGCTTTCCTAAACACATTCATGTCTGCTTCATTGCTTCCAGTGTATTTGTCCTCTCCAGTAGTTTTTGTTAAATCCATCTTAATAATCTAACCCTAGGAACTGAGGGGAAATATCAGAGTCCACTGCAGGATCCGACCACTGCTGCCTTTTGATGCTGCTGCTGGACATTCACTATCACAAGATAGGTAACTTATCTTGGCTGTGGCAGAGCTTAGCTGACTCATCATTAACACACAGAGAAAACAATAGTTAGGTGTTTGTGAGAGCAACTGTGTTACTGATTTATGGGTTTTTTTTTTATTATCCCTGACTCGGCAGAAGTAATACAGCTGCAGTTGGTTTATCCACTATCCTACACAAATCCTGGGGTACAGTAGTGTAAAAACTGTGAGGAGTCGTGGGCAGAGAAACAGACTCAGTGTTACAGTTGTTTTGTAATGCTGTGGAACAGATTTACAGTCAGCACAAACACTGGTAATCCCATTTCAGTATAATTTGGCTCTGCATCCCTAATTTATAATACACTTACTGTGAAGTGTCAAAACATTCCAAGATCCAAAAGGAAAAGAGGGATTAGATGCAAGTATGTGCTATAACAAGCTGAATTCTCCATAGATGACTAACATGAAAGAAGGTAGGAGTCAAAACATACACAAAGTAAGAAAGAAGGGGAAAACTAGGTGGGTGGCTAAAAAACAGTAACATTATCATTTGCCCTATCAGTAGAGAACTGATTTGGGGCTTTATTTTACTTTTGCTGGCTGGTAATTTTAAAAGAGTACACTCTGTGTTTTAAAGTTTATTAATTTTTGGCAAACCTTTAAAAAAAAATACAGAATTGTTTTAATTAAAACATGAAAAACAACAGACAAGAAATTTCAAGAACCCTGAAAGGGAAACTTGCATTAACCTGTGTTTGGTATAACTGGGAAGGAACCCACTCACTGTTTTTGTTGTTGTGTGGAATAGTGCAGGCAGGTGCTGAATTGCAGGGTAAACCAGGGTGGACTGGGCCAAACAACCAATCTCTAAGGCTGCCTCTTCTCTTTTCTTAATATAGCAAAAAATAATCTAAATAAAACTTAGTTGTAAAACTAAGGCCCAATTCTCAAAACACTTACACACATGAATGATGCTCCTAAGCAGTCTCAGTCAGAGTTTTTGGACTAGTAATAGATGCAGGATCAGGGACAAATGCCTAAAAAGAGGGTGTTTTCACTGTATTGTTCTAAAGTTAAAGCCTCTATTTACAAGCTCATATTACAATCTCAAAATAGTTGAAAGGCTTGCATGTGAATTAGTCTTAATTGAGTTTGTTTTAAATTTCATTTTTTAAACAGATTATTTCGCTTGATTGGACTTTATTTTGTTTTTATTCACAATTAGCTGTGGTGTTAGTATGTCCATAGGGTACAAAAATAATGGCAGTTCTGAAAGGGACTCTTCAGAAAACTTGTAGTTCATGGACATTTTGAGCATTGACTTTCCTCAGCTAAATGGGACACTTATGGTTTGAAAGGTACCTTTTGTACCCCTGATGACTTTTTTTTTTTCTTACAGGCAAAGCTTTTCAGAAAAAGTGGCATATGCAGCTGATGATGTGAGTATTTGCTGGTGCAATTCAAAAGCACATTCACAGATCCTAGGAAGGAGAAGAAAGAGGGACATGTGAACCATGTTTTTTTTTTTAAAAAAAGTTACTTTCTTGCCAGTTGGTGCCCAGCTTTGATCACCCATGGGTGCAATAGCAGGTTCTGACTCTTTGTAGTGGCAACAGCTTTGAGCTTCTGCTGGTGCAGTCATTGTATTTGCTGGAAAAATTCCTAAAATAGTGCCAGGCATTTTTCATTTTACTATTGCAACACAACTAATGCGTTAGGAGAGAAATATGTTATCTCATGAACCACAAGAGCCCACGTGGCACTGCAGGCAAGCATGTTGAAGTGTCCTGGCTTAGAACCATCAGAGAAAGCAGAATGAGCACTGAGGGTGCAAATCCAGATGACATTCCAGCATTCACTGAGGCCATTACCAAGATATAAAATGTTAAAAAGCAGAGTAGTGTTTGCTATGGCCAAAGTATTAACTTGGTGTTTAATTTTCTTAGCCACCACAGTTCTTAGCTGGCTGCTCACTGTTACTTACATGTCAGTTAGCCAGATTCTCTTCTGTAGTATATAGTACTTAGTATATTGCTGAAGTGACCTACAGTATGTTATGCATTTAAATCTCCCAAATTATAGCTTCATTAGGCAGATCTCACTTGCATAATGTGATTACTTAGAGACATATCTATGCAATTAGGAGACTAACAGAGCACATGAAAAGTCAACTAAGAAAGAGTAAATATGTCAGGACATAAAAACCAGGCATCTGTAAATGGCAGACATAGTATTCTGGGTGCCATGGCCCATTTATTGTACTCCTACATGCACATTTATTGTACTACAAAATGCCACAACCATTTCTGACCTATTAAAATCTATTGCATAAAGATGAAATTACATAATATTTAGGGTTTGGATTCTTTCATATAGATATGTGATGTGTTACAGTATCTGTCCATGTACAGGCAAAGGAGTGTCTGCTTGCTTATGCCTATGCATGAATTTTAGTTTGTATGATACAGTGACCTGGTAACCTTCAAAATCCTCACTTGCTCTCACATTTACAGGTCCTTATGAAATATTCCAGGAAAATAAATTTATGTGTAGACTTGATTATAAAATGAAATTTGCAACTAATTGCCTGGGTTTGGAAAACACAGCATCAACTTCAAATATTTTATTGGTTTGTCTTGACATTTGTTTGGTTAAAATGCGTTCTAGTTTTGATCAAACACCTGAAGTTTTTGTGTTATTTTCTTAACGTGATTTTTTACAAAACTATCCAAGGTCACGAGGGAGGATAAAAGTACAACCAACTTTTTACAAAAAGCAGTCAATTCAGGTTAATTTAACAAAAGCAAAGGAAAACATTTATTGCCTGCTTGTTTTGCTTTTAACAGCTGAAGGTGTTATGCTTGTGGCTAGGATAAATATGCAGTTTTCAGATAAAATTATGGGATGTGATTTGTTATTGAGCTTTTAGTTGCAACACAGTCAAAGCTCCTGTTTCTGGAAACAAGTTAACCATTTTCCAGGCAAGTATTTATGATTTAAAGGAAATTTTAGATCCAGGTGAAGAAAGACTGTGATACCCGTGCTGAGTTTATTCATTTGGCTTTTTCAGTTCATGGCAAACTTTTCGGATATTTCACTGAAAATACTTCCTATCTGTAACATAATCAGGCAGTTATCTGCCATGAGCATTTTAGAGCTAATGTGCATTAGAAAGCAGAGCTGCATTTGAGACCCAGAGTCACAACACAGCCCAGCATACATATCAGAAACTATGGCTGGATCTTCTGGACAAGCTTCAGCTTCATATTGTTCCTGGTTTGGACTGGAGCTCTAGTAATATGCTTATCAGTCTCATCTATGCTACAACTTAGTCATGTTACAACTAGAATAGGGAAAACATCTGTCTCATAGTGAAAGACCACAAGAGAAATTGCAGAATAAAGTAGCTTTGCTTCTATTCTGCCAGGAGCTATGTTAAGACTTCCTTCAAACTGTCTGTAGATAGGCAGAACTGACACTTGGCAAGAACAGTTGTGTATCTTTTTGTGAGACTGAGACTCCATAAATTCCATTTAGTCTTTGAGTGTTTTTTCTTTTGTTTATTTGGAGATTCATATCATTCTTCAAAAGACATGTGTGATCTTTTCTACAATCTTGCTCTTCTTGTCTAGAGAACCATGATTCCAAGTCTAAAAAATACTCATGATTTTGCTAGATGTAGAGAAAAGTATTTCATTTCAGGTTTTGAGCTCCTTTAAGATCTTTGAAGTGTCCTTTTTTCTTTCTCATGTATGCCCAGCTCCTCAGCATAACACTAACAACTGTCTGAGCCTTTCTCCTGAAGCTTGTTGAGCAATAGTGGCAGAGAGTGAGCACACTCTACGTGTCAGGATGAACTACTCCACATAGACCAGGACACAGAGCAGTGCCAGTATTGTCACTACCTGGGAAAATGAGTAGGTGGGGAACTGAATGCTCAGACACTTATTGATGGTGACAGGACGAGGAGGAGTGGACACAAAATCCAGGAAATTCAGCTTTAACCTAAGAAAAAGCTGTGAGAGTAGTGGAAAAGTGGAACAAGTTGCACAAAGAGGGTGTGGACTCTCCAACTTTGGAGATACTCAAAACCTGACTGGACATGGTCGGGGGCAATCTGCTGTAGCTGACCATACTGTGAGCTGGGGTCTCTGTCTCAGTGATCTCTGTAAGTCCCTTCCCACCTCAACCATTCTGTAATTCTGGCCCAGGATGCCACCCACCACTTTTCTGTAATGCTGTCCATCTCTGGCAGGGTGTGCTGGGTGCACTGGTGAATACAGGTGTCCTGTCTGAATGAGTAGCTGTGTGTGTGCCTGGATCCACACCACCAAATGCAGACTTATAAATGAGGTGCCTAATCTCTCCAGACTCCCCTTCTGGTTGCTGAAGAAAAGTAGCCACCTCCAGAGGGAACATCATTCACCCGAGATCTGAATTAAATTTTAAAAATGTTTGCCTCTCTCCACAACTACATAGGCACCTGCCCTAGTCTATACCTGAAGTGATATTTGATTCCAGCTTCTTCTGGCACAGAGAAAAGAAACTGTCTGCCTCTGTGGGATGACAAAGAGGCTGCTCTGAATATCAGGCAATGATATGAAAGATTCTGGTGTTTCTTCAGGGTAGGACTGGGAGAACATGAAACAAAGCCAAGACCCTCCTTTTCTTGGGAGATAATTTTGTAATAGACCAGATGAATGTAGCTATAGCAGTCGGAGACACTGTTGCTCCCCGGTCACTTATCCCCATCCCCAGCTAGAGGTTTCTCCCCCTGGTGCTTAACCAGGTGGGGAATCCTTCCAGCTGTGCATGGCAGCCTCACTGCTGTGTCAGCTATGCCCTGAAGCTGACAGTGAAACATGAGGTGCAGTCACAGCCTCCCTTACTGACTCTGCTGGAGAGCAGTAGTCTGGGGAAAGGGGGCACAGCCTTCAGCAGATATGCACTAACGAGTGATAAGAAATGGTAATTATCAAACCTAGATACTGTGATCATGTCTGTATCCACTATTCCATATAGATCATTTACAATTCATTCCCTGCCTTACTGATTTTCACTGACTGGATTGCTCCCCAGGCCTGGGGAGTCAGGCTTGGGTGTCAGGACAGATTGCGAATGTTTATGAAGTATCCTTTTGTCATTTCCATAGTTCATATTGTCCTGAAAGAACTCAGACTGGGAGTATTCTGTGACTGTGGGGTGAAAAAAGGGTTCTTCAGTGTTCATGTGAGACAGCTGTATGGATTTCATAAGCACTGTTGAGAGGGAAACCTGCTGAGGTTCTGTAGACCAGCAGCCGTGGTAGATGCGTTAGGCCATACTGATCTTCTGAGAAAGGAAGTTCATTACCAATGCTCATATAAAACTTCTGCCTATTAAGAATTAGTTTGTTTCTGTGTTATGCAAAGGGGGGGTGGGGGTGGGCATGTGTCCCATTTTTAGCCTTAGGGAAAGCTAGTCTGCAAGTAAATTTGGTACCTGAACCGGGAATGTGTTCCATAATGCTATATCATTTTTCTTTTTTTTTTTTTCCTTCCTCCAGAGCCTATTGGTTACTGATCCAATCAGAATTTCTGTGTCAGGCTCTTTTGTAGCCAAGTGTTGTACTCACATCTGTACGGCTGCTAGGTTTGCCAGTGCTGGGGTGGGTAACATATAGCTCATTCTGTAGAGTGAGCCTTGTCATCATTAGGTTGATGATGATACATTGGCCTTATCCAAGGAAGAAGAGATACTTGTAAACTCAAAACAAGAAATTTGATTTTTGTTAGCTACTTGCACTCTGGGCATATTGTTATCCAGTCGTTACTTGCTCAGCTCTTTTCAACTTCAGCCTGTGGCTTTACTCATTTAAGGCCATTAGTTCAGCACTCCAAGCTACTTGTCTGAAGCACAGTAGGAATTTCAGCACTGCCATCAAATGCAGTCATGTAACCACAGGTCAGTAGTCTAGGAAACCTCCTTGAATTAGATTAAGTATTTTGTGTATTAGTGAGCTTCCACCCAAATTGTTGTAAACCCCCTGCCCATTTTTTTTTCTTTGCTTTTTTTTCTGCAATTAAGTAAGACATGCCATGAGGAGCAGAAGGGCACAGAAGTTGCTATGTAAGGCATGCCAGATTTACACTCTTGGAATAGTTTAAAGAGTTGCTTACATATCTGTGAGAAAACTACTCTGTAATCCATCTGGAAGGTGGATTCCTGCTGGAGAAGAGCCTTGGACTTCACGATCCTTAGTTACTGCTGTCATCTGAAACGTTAGAAATGAAAAAATTTTCTTTTTATGTATATGTGCATATGATATTAACTCTAAGTGTTTTGTTTTTCTCTTAGGAAACTGTCCTTGTAAAGTGTAGCCGTCCTGGTCATGCATCAATAAACAAGACTTTTCAGTTTGAGAGGTGGGTAGTCCTGTGTAGCACTCTGGATTGCTGGAGATTTGTGTGGTGAAGACTAAGTTTTTTAGTAGGCTTTGGTTAGAAGATAATGATCTTTTTTGTTGTTTTTCAATGTGGTATTCGTGTTCTTCCCAGAACAGAAGGTACCTCAGGATATAGGTGAGACACTTAATCTTCCTTCTCAGTGAAGACTTCTGATATTTAGTTTGAAAGCTGCTTGAAACCTGTGTAGAGACTTATTTGACCCTCTTCACAGTCTGAGTAGCTCTCACCATCCTCGCAACATGTTGAGAGATACCAAAATGTTACCTGTGTTTTAAAGGTGAGGACTTGAGGTGGTTTGTGTGACTTCAGCATTAGACAGACAGCGTGACTGAGCCAGAAGCTGGACTGAGGACGTGTAGGACTTGGTGTTCAGCCATGCTACTTTTAACTTGGAGTTAAAATGGCCTGAACACGGAGAGCAGGGTAGTGCAGTAGCATGTAAATGCTACTTTCCCTGAGGGAAAGGCTATAGTGTGACCACTTTCCTTGTTAGGTGCTGAAGAACCCACACAGACAAGAGAGATTTGAGTGCACCAGCTGTGATAAGAGTTTGACTTGGTGTTTGTGCTTTATGAGGCACCAGAGAGTCAGTCTGCAAGACAGAAAACTGCAGGGAGTCAGTCTGAAAGGTGCCTTGTGTTCTTTCAGAGTTGAGCTGACCTGAACATCTCAAGACAGGAACAAATGGTTAAATTAATACAAATGAGGTCTCTGTTAATGAAGAAATACAAAATTTTGGCCCGTGCCTTTTTTCTAATGCAAACTTTGCATTGATATGTCACAGTGACTTATACAGTAGGCTCCCTACCCTGAACCATGCTTCAAAACCCTCTGGAAACAGAATACAAGAGGACAGTTTTATGCTTCCTTGCTTGAAGGCAAAACTGGATGTAAAGTCAAATGTACCCAACGTGAATTATCTGTCCTAGTTTAAACTTAAGGTCTGAGCCTCTTTGGCCCAAACTGCTGTAGCTTTGATAAACATTGCCAGTCACTCACCCTTTCCTTGAGGCATCCTTGTAAGATGCTGCCTCTTTCTACTCATGAAGACTGGGGTCTGCTGTTGTGTAGGCCAGTAAATAACTGGAAATTCCTGAGGTAATGCAAGTCTTGGGGAAGCCTTACTGTTCTCATAGGTTATAGGACTCCCTTGCCAGAAGGCACATGAACTCTCTCAAGATACACAGCCCCCATGCACGTCTGCTAAGCTACTCAAAGTCATTCCTTTCACCCTCCAGCTATGCCAAACACAGACACATCAGCTGAAGTCAATGCAGAGTACTGCTGGAATTCAACTCTGTAGAGCAACACAGTTAATGATACTGACACAGGACTCCAGAGGTGCTGTGACTCTGGATGTGTGGTGTAGATCCTGATAATCAGGAAAAGGGTTAAAAAAATGTAAATCCCCCAAAGAATGCAGTTCTTGGGGAATGTTTTTTCAGTGTCCCAGAACAGCTCTTTTTTATAAACAGAAGAGCATATGGTTCTTATGAACTCAAAAATGTTTATTTTCTTAGTAAAGTTTTATGGAACTAATAAATGTCAAAATATTTGATTTCAGCTCAGGAGGAAAATTCCAACTTTCAGCATGTTTTGCTTTTATAATTTTATTGGCAAATCAGTTAGCAAAATAAAAAAGAAGCTCAGAATTTTCAAGGTGAAATTAACCATAATCACTACACAGGGACAAAAATGTCACCATTCTGGTAAAAATACATGGGCTTATAGACAGATATTCCCTGAATTTGCTGCATCTTCCCTGGTCTCAGGTAGCTAATGGAGTAAGTGTCCATGCTTCAGCCAGTGCTGTGATTACAAGGTAGCATAAACTAGTTGGAGCCAACTTGAAACTACTTCCTTTGGGTACTGGTAGCATTTGAACCACAGCAGCTACCTAGTGGAAGTAAAACCCCTTTAGGAAATTGAGTAAATATTGGAGTAGTTACTGTAAGGTGGAGCCTCATGCCTTTCCTCTGAAGGGCTACCAGAACCTGACCCTGACCCAGCTATGGCTGTGCTACTTTGCAGTGCAAACAGACTACTGAGGCTGGTTGATTCCAGCCCTGGTTGTGGTCGGTAGCAATCTGTGTGCTTTGTTAGCCAGCAAAACTCATCAACAGCAAGCAAAAACAGTATGAAAGTTCCCCTCTCTATAATAACTTTTTTATTTTTTTAATAGTAGCTCTGTTTTGATGCATTAAGAAAAATAATATCATTTCAACACATACTGGAGTTAGGGACCTAGCTGGTTAAGATAGACGACTTGGTGCTAATGAATATTTCATCTATTGCAGATGTTAAATGAAACAGAGAAAAGTGTTTGGAAGTGCTTTTACTCTCTTATATTGACCTTGCAGATGTGCAAAGTTCACTGAAGCATATGTGCATATGCATGCACAGCAAGGATGGAGTGTTGCTGCTCAGTGTCTGTGTCCTCCCAGTATGAGCTGTGCCACATCTCTGCATAGTTGTTGGTTTCTCAGTGTAGGATGACAGCACATCAGTGGAATGGCACGACAAGCAGTATTTGTCCATTAAGCCAGACAAGTGCTCCTTTCCTGAGCAAAGGGAGTACATTTTCATGCAACTTGCAATTAGACTGTGGAACACATTGCCACAGGATGTTACTCCAAGCCAAAAATTCAGTAAGATGCAAAAAGAAACTGAATACTAATTCTAATAATTTATTTATTTTTTTAAAACCGAGATTCATTTTGTATTTTGGTTTTAAGGCCAGTTTACAGTTTTTAAGGATTAGGATGAGACAAAGAGATGAATTACTGTGTCTCTAGCCACCATAGTGTTTCTTGCTACTTCCTGTGGTTATTGGTAGGACAAAACACTGAACTTAAGTGGGTTGTCTCTAATTCTGTGTCTGTTTTATCAGTGATTCCTCTGTATGGTCTTATTTATGGAGAACATGAATACAAAATACACATTTCCTCAGGCTGTGGTGGCCAAATCCTGGTCAAATATACAAAAAGACTTGAGTAAATCTTAAAGAGCATACTATGTCTTCATTCAGTTAAACTTGTAGTATCATATATAAGCTGTGGGGTACTGCTGAGTGAAGGGTACTAGTATGCTACATACAGAGGGAAGCAGCTATGCTTTGTAATCCTTATTGCTACCAAACCTCCTGTTTCTTGTTTTGCTATAAGCTGTAAAGAACAGATATCACTCAGTGGAAAACACACCTAAACAAAACAGAAGACAACAGAAAGATATCAGAAAAGGAATCTTTTTCCAGAGATAAACATTCCTACCTCAAATACTTAAGTGTGGCTAATGACATTCATGTTTAGATTCTGTTTAATCTTGTATAAACACTACGTGCTGCAGGCTGTTATCTTGGGGAGGAGGTTTTTGGTGTGCTAGAGAAGAAATGAATGAGTTAGGATGTCCACGTTTTATGATGAGAATTTCCTCCTTTTGGTGATTTCCTGTTTTCAGGTCTTGATTTTATGCTATACAAACTTTATAGTTGAAAATGTTGAAGGAAAAATTTCTTTGAAGACACCCATGTTAGCTATTTTCCTCCCCCTGAATTTGAAAAAAACATACAGTTGTTCTAGACATCATTGTTTTGGCTCAAGGATTGTACTGGCATTGCTCTTTTCTAAGAGGTGGAATTGACTCAATTTAATTGGCTTTCATTCTGTTGAAAAATTAGTTTGGAATCAGAAGGCAAAAGAAAGTCTTCCTTCGAGTCAGATGTGTTTATTTCAAAGTAGATAGTTCAGCA